GCTGTGTTCATCCAGCTCCACACCTTGTTATATCAACATTTCAATACAGGTGTTTGAGTACTATTACTGATTTCACATCTTTTTGGAAATAGACAAAATACAGGAGTTACAATTCCTCAACACCAGTCATTGAGGACAGTATTACATGGGCTTACAGAAGGAAAACTAGGATTGATTCCTCCTTTCCATTTTAATTTACTCCACTGAAGGGCAAATTTCTACTTTTGAATTCCTATTATGAAATACATGTTTATTGTTGAGCTACCCATAACAGGCTGAAGAAGACTTTCTCTCATAAAGAGGCAAAGGCAAAAACGACATCCTTGAACAGTTAATCATTTATTGCAATAGTTTTCCTTATCTTCCGTGCCTTAAGGCAAATGATAGAGGTACTCAGGAAAGGAATGGAGTCACAAAATCTAGAATATTTGTCAGCTACATTGATCTGTGCACAATGAACATTCTAAAGCAAGGAAAGTCTAGTCATGTACTACATGACAGAGGATCCCAAATATAGTGCGATCCTAAATGTAGTCAGTAGTATCTTCCTGAACAAACAATAGGATCAGTGACCATGTGCAATGGGATCACTGAGGTCCTAGACAATAGTAATTGAATGTGACAAGAGTACCAGCTATAGCCTTTACGTATTCTTTCTTACTCAGACATATGCTGAATTGTTATTGTGGTGTCACTCTCTTCTTAGCTACAGTTCATCAAAATTTCGTATCTCTGAATTGAAGAGACAGACTCTTTTGAACTGTTGCTAGTCTTCCGCTGTCAAAGCCTTGAGCGTTCTGTGACATATTTTGTACATACAGTTGCAAAATGCAGTTGATTTCCATGATGTAATCTGACACTATGCTGCACAGAAGAACTCATCTGTTTTCATTGAAAACAGAAATTTCTGAATTCCATTTTGTTATATTTGAAATAGTGAATGCTTTTCTTCCTAAGATGATCAAAATACCAGAAATGCAAGTTGTTTTGACCTGTGCAATTGGTGAGAATGTGGTTTGATATCAGGGTGACAAAAAAGTGGTAAAGTGTGCCTCACACATGTACAAGATCATGCGTGTGGTATCATCTTCTCGCAAGCCGCAAGGAATATTATTTTAATTCAACTCCAAAGACTTGACTTTCCAGGCACCTTCTGTTTTGTTGTGGGGTTGTGCCTGGTGTAAAGCTCGCCATATCATTTTTGTCCATGCTCACAAGTTAAAATTGCAGTCAGTTCCTGATGACATCACCAGGACCCAACATGCACATGTAAAAATAGATCTGAAACCTTTGGGTTACTGTCCTTACCACCTGTTTAACAAAACAACGTCAATTAGCCATGTAAATGTCAGCTCCCAGCAGCTGTACTGTCTGTAAGTAACTATGATAAATTTAATAACCTTGTATCAGTTTCCATAAGACATATAGGGTTGAAACCATATATCTCACTGCCCAACACCCACCCTCCCACCCCCATGTGTCCAATCGGTGAAGATTTACGCACAATGGAATTAATGTTTATTTTTCGTAAGGTCTGAAGGGGGAGATAACAAATCAGCAGCCTGTTTGATTTCTGTTGAATTGATTGGCAAATTATAAAACAGACCATTAATTCACTATCACTTTGACACCTGCAATTTTGTGATACTCTTAACTTTAGTGTTGTTTTTAGTTCTTTGTCTCCTAATCTAATTTCTTCTATTTTCCTTTTGCTATTTACCCTATTCCCCCAACAAATTAATTTAACCCCTTCCCTCAACAGTACTAGTTTTCCTCTCAGTGAGTACATTAGGATGACTTTGTTATGATACAACCTTGTCCATCTTGTGGACAGTTCCAGAACTGGTCCCATTCATATGACATCTTCCTTCCTGTACTACCTTCCACCACTTTCCCAAACACACATACACATGCATTATTTTCCTGTTTGCTTAGCTGCTACTACTGTGAGCACCTTAGCATTACTACCTTTGAGATCCTGCTAGTTAATCTTGTCCATTGTGCCCCAAACTCTGTTTATGGGATTTTAACACTTTTCTCACTTAATTCACTAATGCCAATATGGACCATAATTCCAATCTGCTGCCCTAATCTAGATTCATGCGTCCAATACAAATTCATTTTAAAAGGAATATACAAACTTACAATTCTGCAGCAGGGATCAAGTAAATAAGAATGTCTGTTCTAATTTGTTTTGTCTTTACTTTCTGGATGACTTGCAGTAAAGTCTTTTGCCTTTGAATATTATGCTATTTCTACAGTAGTCACCAGTTACGAATGTGCATCATTTCTCTTGCTGTTGCTACAGTTGTCACATTTTTCTATTTTTCCCAGGTGTTTGGTCATGGAAAAGCAAATGGTGAACCCACCTGGGCCCTGTTACTGACAGCATGTATCTGCGAAACCGGGATCCTCATTGCCTCTTTGGATGAGGTGGCACCCATTCTCTCCATGTACGTACCTTTTTTGGAATATTACTGCCCTGAAAATCTAGGGTAGATTTCAATGGCTTATGGCATCAGCAAAGACATCAACACAGATTAGGTACAAAAACAGAAATTGTTGGAGAAGCTCAGCAACATCTGTGGAAAGAAAGCACAGTCAACATTAAAATACAGTGATCTTCTGAAATTTCTCCAGCAATTTCTGTTTTTATTTCAGATCTCCAGCCTCTGCAGTTCTTTGTTTTATTCTTGTATAGCCTGCTGCCTAGTCAGCTCCTGAATATGCTATTCCAAGAAACTATCTTAAAAACCTTCTATGAATTCCTTATTTAAGTCACCTCTGCCCATTAGACTTTTCCAATCAAATTGTACATTACATTCTCCTGTGATTATTACCATGCATATTTGACAAGCTCTGAATTCTTTCTTTATGTTTCATTCTGTTGTGTGTTAAATGTTAAATGGCCTGCACACCACTTCGATAAGAGATTTCTTGACCTTATAATTTCAAATCTCTATCCAAACTGTTTCCACATCTTGGTTTCCTGAACTCGGGTCATCCCTCCCTATGGTGTGCATTCCATCTTTCACTAACAGAATCACCCTCCACCTTTTCCTAGTTTCCTGCCATTCATAGTTCTTCTGTACCCTTCAAGATTCAGGTGTCAATCCATATAAACTTGTGGCCATGATTCTATAATGTCTATCATGTATGTATTCATTTCTATTTGCGCTTTTAATTCATCTGTTTTGTTTCATATATTACATTTATTCAGATACAGAGTATACAGATTTAACATCTTACTCTTTTTGAAAATTCTTGTCTGATCTGTTAGTTGACCCTTAGATTTACACTGTCTATCCCTTCCTGTTATAATCTGTTTATCATTTCCCAAATTAATACCTTCCTGTTTGACCTTGATTCTACTCTTTCATTTACCATGTCTTTCCAAATTTGATCATTCCCCGACTATTTAGTTTAGTCCTCTCCATTTCCTAGTAATGCAGTTGGCAAGAACACCAGAGGGGCAGCGTAGTTCACGTGGAGACCATCCACGTGGTATAGATCCCACTTGCCTCAGTATTGGTGCCAGTGCTTCATAAGTCTGAACCCACTTCATTCACACCAGTCTTTCATCTGTCTAAACTTAATTGCCTTATGCCAATTTTATTGGGGCTCAAGGATGGAGACATTTTGACCCTTGTGGTTCTGCTTCATAATTTGGCAATTAGCTCCTTATATAGATTATAGATAGAACCTCCTTTTTTGTCCTGCCTATGTTATTGGTGCATACATGGACAATGGCAACTGGATCCTTCCCTTGCTGCTGCAAGTTCCACACAGAGTCTGAGTGAATAACACAAACCCTGGCATGGGGCAGGAAAAACAGTTGTCTGGACACTTGCTCTTTGGAGAATGATGTCAATCCCTTTCACTATACTGCCCGTATCGTCACAATATTCCTTCCTATTTTCCCATTTTGAGTGACTTCTTATACTATGATGCAATGGTCAACCAGCACATGCGCACTGCAGCCCTCACTCATTCAGACAACCTGAAGGAATTTCAAATCTGGTGGACAATTTCACATCTGAGGTCCCTGCATTGTTGCCCTTTGGGTCCCATTTCCTGCCTCGTTTGCAGTCATCCATTCCTTTCCTGACCACTGATCAAGTCAAAGGACCAAATCTTGATACAAAGAAGGGAGGTAACTCTGTTCCCTCTATGATGCCTCGCAATATCTGTAAAAACCCTTTATGCTTTTCAAATGACTTCCTCACATTCTTTTTAGACCATCAGATAATCTTGAAGAATATCCTCAAGCAACCCTTAGCCTTGAGCTCCCAGCTTCAGACTGTATCATGTCAGCAAGGGTTGTATCAGCCTGAGCTGACTCGCTGTGAGGGGTTAGCAAGAGCACTGGTGCTGTGGCAGTAGCGGACATGCATTCTGAAAGAAGACAGCAGATTCATGTTCCACTAAGTCACTGCCAACTCGAGTAATCTGATGGACCACAGACGGCTGTACTGCCATGAGTATCTTTAAACACTGAGTTCCATAGCCATGATGTCATGACCTTATGCGCTTCTACTGCAGCATTGAGATGTTGGGTGGTCCTCACCTGTACAAGAATGGAAGCTGAGACATTGGTCACCAAACGCTGCATTAAATGTTGCATCAGTGCAGTAGTGTTGTTAGAAAGTTAGCTACCACTTCCGTCCAAAATGCCCTTGAGAAAGTGGTGGTGAGTTACTTTGAACTGCTTCAGCCCTGCAAATGACACCCACAGTTCTGCTAGGAAAGGGGTTCCAAGATTTTGACCCAGCAACAGTAAAGGAACAATGATCTAAGTCAAGAATACATGTGACTTGTAGGGAGTCCTGAAAGTCAAGTTGTTCCCATGCATTTGCTACTTTGCCCTTCCGGTGGTAGATATGCAGGTTTGGACAGTGTTGTCAGAGAAGCTTTGCTGAGTTAGTGCATCTTATAGATGGCATGCACTTTTGCCACTGTATCTTGGTCGTGAAAGTGGTAGATGTGGTGCCAGTCAGGTCGGCTGCTTTGTCCTGGATGATGTTGCACTTCTTGAGTATTGTTGGAGCTGCATTAATTCAGGCAAGTTGGGAGTATTCCATCCTGACTGTGCCTTGTAGATGGTAGAAAAGGTTTTCAGGAATCAGAGGGTGCATTCCTCACTGCAGAATTCCTAGACTGTGACTTCCTGTTGTGCTGCTATGTCCAGTTGATTTCCATATCAAATAATAATCCACAGGATGTTGATAGTGGGCGATTCAGTGGTGATAATGCTATACGACAAGAGGCTTTCTGGCCTACCAATGCAGCAAACTACTCAGAGTGTCTGTGCATCAGTATTATCCTATAGACCACTCCGTTGAAGTATTCATCTGAATCTTTTGCCATGGATCTAATATGCAACCTTATCCTCCACTGAGCTGACAGACAAACTATCTTTTCCCACAGTCCATGCATGTTTGCTGACTCATTGTGTACAGATCCCAAATCTATGCTACCCTCAATAGTTTGTATAGTTTCTGAGTTGGAGGCTGTGAGTTACCTCAAGACACTGTTTCTTGAGCAATGGTGTGGTGAAATTTTCACTCTTGGTCTTGAGGCAGCTTTGGCTGGTCAAGCATTAGTTTTAAAGAGAATCAGAAGGTGCGGATTGAAGTGAAGGAATGATGAGTGGCAGAGAGCAAGATCTCCACAGTTGTATCATTATCAGCATGCACTTTACATCAGATAACAGAATGGGAGTGGGGTTGGAATTGAAAAGAGGTAAAAAGACAGGAACAAACTATCATCATCAATGTTCTTTGGAATTTTGGATACAAGGGCTTTCTTCTCCCCAAAGAAAGAGGGAAAAACCAGTGATTGTTTTCCTCTCTGTTTGGGTAATAGGCCAATTATAGCTGACTAGCTGCATGTCTGTGGAGTCTCTGAGATTTAAAAGTGAAGTTTGCATCATGATCTGTCTTAGTCAACTGGAACATCTGAATATTATCTCTAAGTCTAGACTGGAAGAAACTGCTATTGTGCAAACAATGGACTTTGATGCATTGAGCAGTTTAGGAAGTTTGACCTGTGCTGGATAAGTATCATTATGTGAAGATGATTTAGTGACTGTGACCAACTCGCATGGCAAGGTCATTGAATTTCTTATAAGAATGCTGCTAGTCCAGGAGGCCAGAATTCATGAGTTCACCTACCTCCTCTGGCACCAATCCCTTCTGAAAATGTTCCTTGAGGGACTCTTGCCTGTCTCTTAAACTGCATCATCCCCAGCTCTTGCGGAAACATGGTCTCTTTCCTCCTGATTACTTCCATTACTAACACCTCCAACATTGCATTTGAGAACCTCAGAGCTCTTTTGCCTCCCAGGTACTTTTGTATTCAATTTCAATCTTGCATTCAATTTCACTATAGTAAGTCAGCAGCAGCTTCCTTTGATGAGGGCCAGGCCAGCTATCTCAGCACTAAAACCACAGGCCTACAATCACCCAGCCACAATTACACCTCATTGTGTTGGTCAGAATTAATGCATTATGTTCATCAATATTATCAATTACTCTAGATAGAGAAGGAAAGATGGTCTATAAATGTGAGAAATCAGAAATAAATATTAGAAGATGCTGGAAATTCGGAGTAACTCATTAAACATCTGAAATAAAAATAGGTCAATGTGTGTGAAAGGTTGGGTAGAGCTGACATTCTAAAGCCCAAATTTCCCATGCTAGTGCCTCTGAAAGACTAAGTTTACTGTGTAATATTATTTTGAGGCCTCTGTTAAAGTGTAACTTTCACTGTCATTAAATGTCTAGTGTATTCTCGGCATAATTAAGGAAGTGACTTTATGTTTTTTTTGTCCTCAGGTTTTTCTTAATGTGCTACATGTTTGTGAACCTAGCCTGTGCTCTACAGACACTACTCCGAACCCCAAACTGGAGACCCAGATTCAAATATTATCATTGGTATTTCACACTTCCTAATCTGCCATTTTTTTGACCTTTTCATTTTTTTTAATGTCATCCAGACAAAATCATTAAAAAAGCACACGTAAATAAAGTAGAGTGTGTTACATAAAGATTACACATGTCTCAGTGCACGTTATGTAGAGGATAACAGATGGCTTGCTGTGTGTTGTGTATATAACAAGTGCTTCAGAGTGTGAGACAGATATTTTCTATAGAAGATCGCAAGCACCTTGGAATGTGTTGCCTTGAGGACAGCAGATATCTGGCACTAATGGGGCCATACATCATCAGCAGTTCGGGTGATTTTTGTTATGTACTGTAAGAATTCTAGGCAATGTATAGATATCGTCTAACCCCAATGTATAGCTAATATTTTACCTTAGTGTACAGATATTATTTAACACCAGGACTTTTCCCTCTGCTAACTTCAATGAACATTTGCATTTTAACCCTTCAGATACACAGCAGAAATTTAAAGACTTTGCAGGTTTTTAATCAGCTAATAAAGTTTAAATTTGCAGATGATAACTCTTTATTTTTCTTCTCCAGAGAAATCATCTGTACATAGAACAGACGACATAAAGTGATAGGTTTAACAATAAATCTATAAATTTTATTTATAGATATATCAAATTCTCATAATTGGCATAATGGCTATTCACTTTCGAACGTTAATAAACTGGACCAAAAAATTCTAGCACTTTAGGTATTGTACTTTAAATGTTTCTGTTCTTGTGTAAGATCTATAGTGGACACTCAATGTTCTAGCGTGGGCTCTTCAGATTTCCAACAAAAATCAGACCAGATTTCAGAGTTACTTTCAAACGATGTTTATTAATACAGTGTACTTGATGGTAATGCTACAGGGCAGTAACTTTCTGGCAGGATATTAACACTTGACTACAGTCATGTTTGTATCTTTGGAAAGCAGTAAATTAAATTGTAATACTTGGAAATGAACATACTGATTATACTGGAACTCCATTGTGAGGTATACAAGATGAGCTGGACCAATATGTCTTATTTGCTGTTTTACCTTCCATCACGGCTTGCCACAGTGGCTCATCTATATATTCATTTAATCCAACTCTACAGTCATTTCAGTATGCTCTCCAAGTGCCCTGGCATGTCTCAGTGGCTGACTGCACAGTCTAACACTGAAATACATAGGTCACGCAGCCACATGTTTGACCTAGCTAAAATGACAGTGCAGGTACGAAAATTCCCTTCAGCATCTCCAAGTTCAGAAAGGGGCAAAAAATAACTCCTAATTATGTTGTAAATGGTGGTAGTACACTCCTTTCTGAGTCAGAAAGTAATGACATTCGGCTGATAAATCAGTGCTATAACAGGAAGCGCTGCACTTCAGGGGTGCTGACTTTCAATAAACCATCACCCAAACTACCCTATCAAATGGAAATGAAAGATTTCATGACGCTACTTTAAGGAAGAGCAGCTAAGTTATCTCCAGTGTCCTCACCAATATTTATCCATCGTATACAACTGAAAACTCTGGTCATTATTTGCTGTTCATGTGACCTTGTGGTTTACAATATGACTGGTAGTTTTCCATTATTAGCATAATGACTGCCTTGAACTCATTTAGCTGTAAAGCATTTGAAACATCCTGAGGTTGTGAAAGTCGCTGCAGAAGTGCAAGTTGTTCTTTTTCTTCCATCTTTTAGTCAGTAACCCTTTATGGAAATTGTCTTTTATGTAGATGTGGAGTTTGGAGAATTTAAGGTCTCGCTTTAGATAAAACCAGAATATGCACTGTTTAAATACACAAACATATGCATTCAGAGAAGGTTCTGGTGTTAGTCAAACTAACCTCTAGGAGTCAATGATGGAATGGGAAGACAGACAAAACTGTGAAAAAAAGCATTCATCTAAAATGCAACTACTGGCATAGAGTTATGCTGCAAAGATATGATTTTGAAGAAAAGGTAAAATTTGCAAATAAGATTTGCTCAAGCTTAAAGGGCAGTGAGACCTCAACTGGGCTGTCACTTTGTATTATAAGCAATCCGTAATCTGTTCAGCTAGCAGTACCACTGGTGCATGAAGTTCATTCAGATTGTTAACGGCCGTCTCCACTGGGCCATTTTAAAATTATTCTTCTGGATGAACAATTGGATGAAGATAAGAGATGAAGCTCCAGCTTTTAATGAGCCCATCCTGATGGTTCATCCTCTCATGTATTTTGAACTTTCTGCAACAACCATAATATATTAAGGCTGAAGTGAAGATGATACTGTGGCATCTCAGGTAACTGTTTAGTCTTTCTCGTGGCCTTCAAAAAGCAAGATACCTTTTTAGTTAAAAATGTGAAACTTATTCAGAAGACAAAGTTAGTTATGAACAAAACAAGGATTGATGATTTTGGACCAGTATCCCAGGGTTGTCATCAGAGGCAGGTCTGTAAATACCCTGCACCTGTGTTACTGTAGGTACCAATGCACTGCTAAGAAGATAGCTTCCTGTGTGATTCTGATTACAACATGCTGACAACAGAAAAGTGAAATACCTGCTCCAGCAGCATTGTCAATGAATCCACTATCATCACAGTGAAAGTAGGACAAAACTTCTGTACTTACAGACACAGTATCAGCTCGCTGTTACTGTTATTAAAATCTACTAACCTCTGGGAGAGGCCTGTGTGGCACTGCCACCATTTAAATAAGCTGGACTTGGAACAGATCTAACAACTCAATGCTGAGCATGGATGAGGCTCTGTGGGCCACCAGCAGCACATTGTGCTCAGACTAATTCTGTAACTTCATGGCTCCTACTCAACCATTACCGTCAAGTTAGTGGATCAACACTACTTCAATGAAGAGTGATGAAGGGCATACCAAAAGCAGCAGTACACATACCTAATAAATTAGGCTTTAACCTGTTGAATTCACACACAGGACTACTTTCATACAAAACTGTATAAGCAGCATATTACTGACAGAGCTAAGTGATTCCTTAGCCAACAGATCAGACCTAAGTTCTACAGTCCTGCTACATCCAGTTATAAATGGGGTACACGGTTAAACAACTTACTGCAAGAAGTGGTTTCACAAATATCCCCATCCTGAAAGATGGGTTAGCCCAGCACCTTAATGCAAAAGATATGGTTGGAATACTTGCAGCAAATTTCAGCTAGAAATGCCATGTAAAAGATCCATCTCAGCCCCTGTACAGATCCCCAATATCACACAGGCCAATCCCAATTCAATTCAGTCCATATGGTATCAAGAAATGACTGAAGGCACTGGATTCTTCAAATACTATGATCCCTGACAACATTCCAGTACCAGCACCTGTGCTCCAGAACTTGTTGTGACCTAACCAAACTATTCCAGTACAGTTGCAACACTGGTATCAACACAACAATGTAGAAAATCACTCAGATATATCCTGTGCACAAAAAGCAGGACATGTTCAACAGAACCAATTACTGACCTATCATCTACTCTTGCTGTAGGTAAAGTGATGAAATTGATCATCAATAGAGGCAACAATCAGCCCTTCATTATGGCCTGCTCAGTGACACTCAGTTGTGGATCTACCAGGGTTAGTCAGTTCCTGATCTCATTACAGACTTGGCTTAAATGTGGATAAAAGCATCCAATGTCAGTGATGATATGTGAGTGACTGCCCTTGATATCAAGGCCACATTTGACTGAGTGTGGCATCAAAGAACCCTAAAAAATTAAAGTTGATGGAAATCAAAGAAAAATCTCTTAGCTTATTGGAGTCATACCTGGTACAAAGGAAGATAGTTTTTGTTGTTGGAGGTCAGTAATCTCAGCTGTAGGACGTCTCTTCAGAAGTTCCTCAGGGGACTGTCCTTGGCCCAACCATCTTCAGCTGCTTCATCAATAATCTTCCCTCCATCATAAGGTCAGGAGTGGGGATTTTCACTGATGTTTGCACAATGTTCAGCACCCTTTACCACTCCTCAGATACTGAAGCAGTCCGTGTCCAAGTGTATCAAGACCAGGTTTTGGGCTGACACTTAGCAATTAACATCCACACCACACAAGTGCCAGGCAATGACTATCTGCAATAAGAGAGAATCTAACCATCATCCCTTGACATGCAATGGCATTACCATCACCATCACTGAATCCCACACTAGTAACATCCAGAGGTTTATCATTGATCAGAAATTCAACTGGACACACCATATAAATACTGCGGTTACAAGAGCATGTCAGAGACTAGGAATCCTGCAGCTCATATCTCACATCCTAATTCCCCAAAGCCTGTCAACCATCTACAAGGTACAAGACAGAAGTTTGATAAAATATACCTCACTTTCTTGGATGAGAGCAGCTTCAAAAACACTCAAGAAGCTTGACACCATCTAAGAAAAGTCAGCCCGCTTGATTGGCAACATATTCACAAATATTTCCTGCACCACAGACACTCAGTAGCAGGAGTGCGTACTATCCACAAGATACACTGCAGAAATTCACCAAGTCTCCTCAAACAGCATCTTCCAAACTCATGACTACTACCATCTAGACAGACAAGGGCAGCAACTATACAGGAACAACAACGCCTGCAAGTTCCCCTCTAAACTACTAACATCCTGCCTTGGAAATATATTGCTGTTCCTTCACTGGCACTGGGTTAAAATCCTGGAGCTCCATTCGTCGTAGCATTGTGGGTCTATCTACAGCAAAAGGACCTCAGCTGTTCAAGAAGGCTGCTCATCATCACTTTCCCAAGGGCAATTTGGATCGGCAATAAGTACCAGCCTAGCCAATGACACCAACCTTGCATGAATGAATAAACAAATACCTCCCAAGCAGTTACTGATCTCAAATATATATTCTGTGTGCATCCACAATTTTTCCACTTATGCAGAATGCAAAGTGAACAAAGTAAAAATGAACAAAGAAAGAACTTTAAATTCTGTAGCGCCTTTCATGACCTCAAGATATCCCAACGCATTAACAGTCAGTGAAGTGCCTTTTTAAGAGCGTTATTATTAGGGAAATTCTATATCATAATAAATAATGCAAAATAAATAGTTGACAAATTCATCATAAATGTGGTGATTCAATCAACAATATGTGCTTGTGTCTGTAATATTACTTTTCTACAGTGGTGATATACTTATACTTGTTTCACAGGACTATGTCATTCCTGGGAATGAGCCTATGCCTGTCCTTGATGTTTATTTGTTCCTGGTACTATGCTATTGTGGCCATGGTAATTGCAGGACTTATCTACAAATACATTGAGTTCAATGGGTAAGTCTCTGCATTTATTTTGTACAGATCATTGCTGAGTGAAACTCTGAGCTGTTATGTATACCAATAATCTCCTCATTCTTCGATTGCAAAGACCATGTGCAAGTCATGTCAACATTGAAACTTACTATTTGGAGATTTTGTTTCTGAATTACATAGTATAGAAGTTGATTCCTTGTTCATGCTGATGCAGTCATGAGATACTGTGACCTTGGTTTTAATCTATGATTGGCCGGAGAGAGCAGTGGACAATTTGGCCTGTAGCTCAAAAACAAATCGGCGCACATGTTGAAAGTTAAACAACAAAAAAGAAACTTCTGGAAAAAACAACTCATCAAATCAGTACCTGCAGAGAGAAAAGTAAACATAATGTTTCAAGTTGTGATCCTGCTTCAGAATTTCTTGGTAAGAAGCAGGTTTTAAGTATACACAAAACCAAGGAAAGAGGAGGACAAGGATATAGGGGCATGAGGAGAAGCACAGATAAAGAACAAAATTGAGAAACAGGGTGGTTGATGGCAAAAGTGGCTGTGTGCTTAAAAACTTTAACAAGTACAAGTCCACTTTTCTGTTTATTCTGTCCTGTTTATTCATTATGACAATATTGAATGTTTGAAGGTGACATTGTGTTTTCTCATGTGTTCCAGTAGAAATCCAGAATAGTCTTCTAGTATAACACTGGCAAGAACAAATTTGCTGTGTCACCTATTCTGGTATTTCTCTATCAAGAAACAGTGCACATGGTACAGTCCATTTATGTAGTTAATCACGTTACTGGTGCATGTAAATTCAAAATCAGCTCCTGTCTGAATTATTTAAAGATTCTTTCCAATTTGGTGTTAATTTGCAAAATCAGTAGGAATGGATTTTACATCTCATGCACCTTCCTCTCACCTTCCCATACCATCTTGTGGCTAACCCCAGCAGATCTTCCTGGGTCACGGTCCTATATTGTTGACAGTCCTTCATGCTATTTCTAGCATTACTAGATTACCTAACTCAATAGGTAACAAAAAATGTCTGCAGAAGTTGAAACATTTTCTTTAATTCACCCACCATCAATCTCCCTGCAATTGATTCTCCATTTGGCATTGTTCATCCACCTTCCCCACCTCCTAGCCCCTTTATAGCAATACTGGAATTAGGGACACATTCTAAACCATTAATGACAGGAAATGCATCTCAACAATAATACACCTTTCATCATGCCTGTCATAGAACATAGAACGCAATGTTGTGCCAAACATGATGCCAAATTAAACTGATTCCTTCTGCCTGCCCATGGTCCTCTGCCAGGGGTCTATTCTGCCACAGGACACTTTGGCAAAATTGATTGAAAGTTGGGCATCTCCTTGGAACATGCAGAAAGACACACCTTCCACATGTCTTGCTGTGTTTGGGTGTTCTTAGTGATTGGTGTCAACTATCAAGTTTCTACTTATGACCTGTAAACTTTGTTGACCAATGAGCATTGCTTTGTATTTATGTCCATTCTTCAGTAGCTCTTTAATGCTGTAAGTCGTGGGTTGGTCTAGCAAATATTGCTGGAAAACTTCCAGGGTGGTGGATGTGATTCTGTTTGCTCGGTTCCAATCTGAAAACGTATGCAATGAGCTCATTTTTCTGCATCTGCTCACAAAGTGGTCCATGGATTCTGTCTAAATGCCATGAATTCTAGACAACAAAAATGGTGACTATGACTATAAATTATTCCATATCTTTTGGAGATTGTTTAACTCTTCAGTTATTAAGCCTTACATTTTAAGTGTGTTTAGGCCTTCATTCCTAATTGCTAAGCAAACCTTAATAGTGTTCTTTTCGTCATTAATCAAATCCAAGTTTAGAAACCTTGCTCTGAATGCCATTTGTGTTTTATTCATTCAGGGAATGTGTTCTTCACTGGCTTGGATAGCATTTATTACCTATCCCTAAACTATCCTTGAGGAAGTGGTAGTGAATTGCCTTCTCAAAGTGCTGCAGTTCATTTGCTGTAGATGCATCCAGGGGTCAGTTAATTCAGTTGCCTGGATGACTGGTATGCAATGCAGAGTGATTCCAACAGCATAGGTCCAATTTCTGCACCAGCTGATGTTGTTATAAAGGACTTCCATTCTCAACCTCTCCCCTCATCTGAGGTGTGGTAACCCTCAAGTTAAACCATCACCAGTCATCTCTATCTTTCTCTCTCTCTATCTCTCTATCTCTATCTCTATTTCACAAACACTAATGGGAGAGCAGAACTATGGCCTGGTCAGTCTCTGGGAATTTTACTTTTACCATTTAAGTGCTCACACAGTGCTGTGAGGGAGGGAGTTCCAGGATTTAGACTCAACAACAGTGAAGCAACAATATATTTTCAAATCAGGATGGTGATTGGCCTGGAGTAGAATTTTTGCAGCTGGTGACATACCATGTATCTCCTGCCCTCATTCTTCTAAATAGTAGAAGTCATAAGTTTGGAAGGTGCTGTCTTGGTGAAACTTGGTGAATTGCTGCAGTGTATCTCTTACATAGTACACACTGCAGCTACTAAGCATCAATGGTGGAGGCAGTGAATGCTGATGTTGATGTATGTGGTGCCAATCAACTAGGTTGCTTTGTCCTGGATGATATTAAGCTCCTTGAGTGTTGTTTGACCTGCACTCATCCAGGCAAGTTGGAAGTACTCCCTCAAACTCCTGACTTGTGCTTTGTAAATTATGACAGGTTTGGGGAGGCACATGATGAGTTACTTGCTGCAGTATTCTTAGCCTCTGACCTGCTCTTGCTCTGCAGCCAGTTTTTATATAGCTAGTCCAGTTCAGTGTCTGGTCAATGGGAACCCCCAAGAAGTTGACAGTGGGAGATTCAATCACGGTAAATAAAATGAATGTCATGGTACAATTGTTACATTTTCTCTTACTGGTCATTGGCTGGCAGTCATGTGGCGCAAATGTTACTTGACACTTGTCAGCTCAAGCCTAGATATTGTCCAGACCTGCTGCAATTGGACGCAGACTGCTTCAGTATCTGAGGAGTCATGAATGGTGATGAACATTGTGCAATCATCAGTGAACATCCCCATTTCTGACCTTATGATGGATGGAAGATCATTGATGAAGGAGTTGAAGATGGTTGGGCCTAGGATAATATCCTGAGTGCTATCCTGCAATGTTGTCCAGGAGCTGGCATCACTGACCTCGACAACTATAATGATATTCCAAGATGCCAGGTATGATTCCAATCAGCAGTAATTATCCCCATTGATTCCCATTATAGAACATAGAACATAGAACATTACAGCGCAGTACAGGCCTTTCAGCCCTCGATGTTGCGCCGACCTGTGAAACCAATCTGAAGCCAATCTAACCTAAACTATTCCATTATCATCCATATGTTTATCCAATGACCATTTAAATGCCCTTAAAGTTGGCGAGTCAACTATTTTTGCAGGCAAGTCATTCCACGCCCTTACTACTCTCTGAGTAAAGAACCTACCTCTGACATCTGTCCTATATCTATCACCCCTCAATTTAAAACTATGTCCCCTTGTCCGAGCCATCACCATCCGAGGAAAAAGGCTCCCACTGTCCACCCTATCTAATCCTCTGATCATCTTGTATGTCTCTATCAAGTCACCTATTAACCTTCTTCTCTCTAATGAAAACAGCCTCAAGACCCTCAGCCTTTCCTCATAAGACCTTCCCTCCATACCAGGCAACATCCTGGTAAATCTCCTCTGCACCCTTTCCAATGCTTCCACATCCCTCCTATAATGCGGTGACCAGAACTGTATGCAATACTCCAAGTGCGGCCGCACCAGAGTTTTGTACAGCTGCAACATGACCTCATGGCTCCGAAACTCAATCCCTCTACCAATAACACCTAACATACTGTACGCCTTCTTAACAACGCTATCAATCTGGCTGGCAACTTTCAGTGATCTATGCACATGGACACCGAGATCTTTCTGCTCATCCACACTACCAAGAATCTTATCATTAGCCCAGTACTCTGTATTCCTGTTACTCCTTCCAAAGTGAATCACCTCACACTTTTCCACATTAAACTCCATTTGCCACCTCTCAGCCCAGCTCTGCAGCTTATCTATGTCCCTCTGTAACCTGCAACATCCTTCCGCACTATCCCACCAACTTTGGTGTCACCCGCAAATTTACTAACCCATCCTTCTACACCCTCATCCAGGTCATTTATAAAAATGACAAACAGCAGTGGCCCCAAAACAGATCCTTGAGGTACACCACTAGTAACTGAACTCCAGCATAAACATTTCCCATCAACCACCACCCTCTGTCTTCTTACAGCTAGCCAATTTCTGATCCAAACCACTAAATCACCCTCAATCCCATGCCTCCGTATTTTCTGCAATAGCCTACCATGGGGAACCTTATCAAATGCTTTACTGAAATCCATATACACCACATCAACTGCTTTACCCTCATCCACCTGTTTGGTCACCTTCTCAAAGAACTCAATAAGGTTTGTGAGGCACGACCTACCCTTCACAAAACCGTGTTGACTATCCCTAATCAAATTAGTCCTTTCTAGATGATTAAAAATCCTATCTCTTATAATCCTTTTCAACACTTTACCCACAACCGAAGTAAGGCTCACTGGTCTATAATTACCAGGGTTGTCTCTACGCCCCTTCTTGAACAAGGGGACAACATTTGCTAGTCTCCAGTCTTCTGGCACTATTCCTGAAGACAATGACGACATAAAGATCAGAGCCAAAGGCTCTGCAATCTCCTCTCTAGCTTCCCAGAGAATCCTAGGATAAATCCTATCCGGCCCAGGGGACTTATCTATTTTCACACCTTCCAGAATTGCTAACACCTCCTCCTTATGAACCTCAATCCCATCTAGTCTAATAGACTGTATCTCAGTATTCTCCTCGCACAACTTCCCACTACTGTCCTTGACCGGCCCCAATATTACTCTAGTCATTCTTTTATTCCTGACATACCTATAGAAAGCTTTAGGCTTTTCCTTGATCCTACCTGCTAAAGACTTCTCATGTCCCCTCCTGGCTCTTCTTAGCTCTCTCTTTAGGTCCTTCCTGGCTAACTTGTAACTCTCAAGCGCCCTAACTGAGCCTTCACGCCTCATCTCTACATAAGCCTCCTTCTTCCTCTTGACAAGAGATTCAACTTTTTTCGTAAACCACGGTTCCCTCGCTCGACCACTTCCTCCCTGCCTGACAGGTACATACTTCTCAAGGACACGCAGTAGCTGTTCCTTGAACAAGCTCCACATTTCAATTGTGCCCAGCCCCTGCAGTTTCCTTCTCCATCCTATGCATCCTAAATCTTGCCTCATCGCCTCATAATTGCCTTTCCCCCAGCTATAACTCTTGCCTTGCGGTATATACCGATCCCTTTCCATCGCTAAAGTAAACGTAACTGAATTGTGGTCACTATCACCAAAGTGCTCACCTACCTCCAAATCTAACACCTGGCCTGGTTCATTACCCAGTACCAAATCCAATGTGGCCTCGCCTCTTGTTGGCCTATCTACATACTGTGTCAGGAAACCCTCCTGCACACATTGGACAAAAACTGACCCATCTGAAGTACTCGAACTATAGCGTTTCCAGTCAATATTTGGAAAGTTAAAGTCCCCCATAACAACTACCCTGTTACTTTCGCTCCTATCCAGAATCGTCTTTGCAATCTTTTCCTCGACATCTCTGGAACTTTTCGGAGGCCTATAGAAAACTCCCAACAGGGTGACCTCTCCTTTCCTGGTTCTAACCTCAGCCCATACTACCTCAGTAGACGAGTTGTCATCAAACGTCCTTTCTGCCACCGTAATACTGTGATTCTAGTTTTTCCAGGGCTCCTCAATGCCACACTTGGTTGAATGCAGTCTTGATGTCAAGAGCAGTCACTCTCACCTCCTCTCTGGAATTCACCTCTTTTATCCATGTTTGAACCAAGACTGTAATGAATTCATGAGTTCAGTGACTCTGGTGAAACCCAAATTGGATATCATTGAACAGCTTACTGCTAAACAAATGCTATGTGATAGATCTGTTGGTAATCCCTTCCATCAATTTACTGATGAGTAAGTGTAAACCAATGGGCCAGAAACTTTCCAAATTAGACTTGTCCTGCTTTTAGCATAGAGGATGTTCCTGGGCAATTTTCCACATTGTCACGTAGTTGCCAATGTTGTATCTATACTAGAACAGCTTGACTAGGAAAATGGCAAGTTCTGGGCCACAAGTCTTTAGTAGGTGGAATGTTCTCAGAGCTCATAGCCTTTGCGGTTTCCATTCCTGGAGCCAGTTCTTGCTGTCAAATTGGCTGAAGACTGGCATCTGAGATGCTCAAGGCCAATGGAGGATGTCAGGATGAACACTTCGCACCTCTGGCTGAAGATTGCTGCAAATTCCTCAGCTTTATCTTTTGCACTGGTGTACTGAACACCCCATGATTGAATATTGAATGTTTGTGGAGCCTCTTCCACCATTGAGTTGTTTAATTGTTCACTCCATTCACAACTTGATAAGGCAGAACTACAGAAATTAAATCCGATCCATTAGTTGTGGGATCATTTAGCTGTATCTCTCACTTGCTGCATTTGCTCTGGGGCAGGAAAATAGTCCTGCATTGTAGCTTCACCAGGCTAATGCTTCATTGACACGGGTGCTGCTCCTGGCATGCCCTCCTGCACTCTTCGTTGAACTAGGGTTAGCCCCTGGCTTGATGGTAATTGTAGACATTTGGATATGCTGGGCTATGTAGTTACAAATTGTGTTTGAATAGAATTCTGTTGCAGTCAATACCCACGGCACCTCAAAAATGGCCAGTCTTGAGTTGCTAGAACTGTTCAATATCTATTACATTTAGCATGCTGATGGTACCACAATGTAAGATATTATCAATGTGAAGATGGGATCTTGTCTCCATAAAGACTATGTAATTGTCACTCCTACCAATGCTGATATGGGCAGATGCATCTGTGGCAGGCAGATTTGAGAGGAGAAAGTTAAATGTGTTTTCCTCTTGTAATTTCTATTACAACTTGCTTCAGACCCAGTCTAGCAGTTTTGTTTTTCCTTCAGGACTTAATCAAGAGTGTTCCAAGAGAACGGATGATAGATTTCCAGATACTAATGACATTTACAAATCTGGGGATGGCTTTCAATAATTGCAGTCGATGATCAACTATTATCTAGAATGGCAAAGTAGATTTGAAGAGCTGAATAGCCTCCTTCTATATTCATATTATAGCATTCTCAGCCATATGGCTCATAAAAGTGACGCAATAATCTGCTCCTGTTAACCTAAGGGACCTAATGAAACTGGTGACTTTTTTGACGAGATGTGATTGTTTTATTCAATCATTGAAACGCCGGCGATGTACTAGAAGGAACACAGCAGATCAGGCAGCATCAGAGGAGCAGGAAAGTCGATGAAGGGTGTAAATCTGAAATGTCAGCCTTTCCTGCTCCTTTGATGCTGCCTGACCTGCTGTGTTCCTCCAGCTCCACACCGTATTGACTCTGACTCCAGCATCGGCAGTTCTTGCTATCTCTGAGGCAATGTACTAGGACCTGGGAATGTGAACTGAGCAAAGATAGGAGACCTAAGTCATAGAGTTACTTACGACATAAAAGGAGGACATTCAATACTGAGTCTCTGAATCAACTTTGAGAAGAATGGGCGGCAAAGTGACCATGAAACTGGATATGTTTGACAACAATAGTTTAGACGAGCTCCATACGACTGAACATGTTCACAAAGAAAACCGTAAAGAATTTGAAGGATATTGTAAAAATATGAATAAAATTTGACTTAAAGGAGTTCAATGCAACTGCTTTAGTAGTAATTCAAGGAGAACTGAACAGACCAACAACAGCAGCAAAATGGAATAACTTTGCCTATTTAATTGAGAGCATCGGATAGAGTAATACCAGTAAAACAGTGAAATCAACTCTTATGATAGTTAAGCTAGGTGAATCATAATCACATAACAGATCCTGCCATATAGTTTGGTTTTCCTTGACAGAGGAACAGTCCACACAATGTATATGTTGTGCACAGTGTATTATACTTCAGAGGGTTTATTAGCTCAGTTGGTTTGTGGTATTGAGCAATTCCAAAGCAGCAGGATCAAGTCCCACACCAGCTGAGGTCACGATGAAGGTTCCACCTCTTAACCTCAGGTTTAACTCACCACAAGTCATCTCTCTCTTGTGAGAAAACAACCCTCTAGGAATATGACACCTTTATTATCATATAGCTACTGTGAAGTCAGAAAGTAATGGCTGACCATACATTAGATATGTGTGATTCAGCCATATGAAAGTATGTGACAGAATGGTTTGCTGATCCTTATTTTTTTTTCCTGTAGAGCTGAAAAAGAATGGGGAGATGGAATCCGTGGTCTGTCCCTCAGTGCAGCCCGGTATGCTCTGCTCAGGCTTGAAGAAGGTCCTCCTCACACCAAGAACTGGAGGTTAGTAGCCAATTTAAACTTTCAATATCTTTGTTTAGCAAAAATGTATGGGGTTAACATCTGCAGGTCTGCCAGCAATACATAACTATCAACCATTAGCAGTGAGAGTCCCACATATATGGAATTCGTAAGGCATCTTTAAATTTGTAAGTTGATCAGAATGATGCAGCTTATTGGAAAAATGTTTGTTCTATCTACACTTTGTTGTTTTGCTTATTTGAAGTGATTGAATCAGTAGACTACTTTGTTTACCTTGACTGTGAACATAATTGGTCCTCATGCATTACTGAATCTTTTATTCCTCCAACAAAGCTTTGTAGAATGGATTACACTGTATACTCAGTTCCAGCTATTAGAAATAAACATGTTTTAAACAAATGATTGTTCTGTTTGGATGGATTATGTTCTTTTGTTACATTTTGAGTTAACCAAACAAATTTGATTCATTTGTAGGCCTCAGCTTCTGGTACTTGTAAAGGTGGACGAAGACCAGAATGTAAAACATCCACAGCTTCTAACTTTCACTTGCCAACTAAAGGCCGGGAAGGGGCTCACCATTGTGGGCACGGTGTTGGAGGGCAGCTTCCTGGAGAATCACACACAGGCCCAACGGGCTGAAGAGGTACACACTACTCTAGTTTCATTGTCTTATCAACATCTTTGCAGAATGTCAGTTTGATTTTCTAGACAGATAGACTAAGGATAGTCTTCCATAAATCTTGTTTGGAAAAGAATTTCCAACTCATATTCATTAAGAATTAGCAGCTAGGTCCCATGACATTTGTATAAGCAATTTAGAAGTTGTTTACCAAAGTCAGTAATGACATTTGCCCCCTGTTATTTATTTAGATTCCATTGCGAAACACCATCTTCTTATCAGGCTAATAGATACGAATACAAAATAATATGAGTAATATAATTTACTTATTTTGAAATGGAAAAATACTCTTGGTTTGAGAAAGTCTACTAATTTTCCAAAATGTGCTGATAAATGCAGGATTTTTTAACCGGTTGAGATGAGGTAAAATTAATAGGATAATGGTGGTTTTATGGTAATGTCACTGAAGAGGTACTCCAAAGACCCAGGAAAATCTTCAGGAACGTGGTTCAAGAAACTGAATTAAATTAAGTTAAGTTAACAAAATCTGGAATTGAAAATTAGTCCTCATGATGTTTCACTGCAAAACTATCTTTGATTGTGAGGAAAAAAACCCATCAGATTCATTAATGTGTTTTGAGGAAGGAAATTTGTTGTCCTTATCTGGTGCAACCAACATGAGATCCCAGACTCTGATATGGCTGATATATGGCTGAAGTGGCCTAACAAGCCACTTAGTTCAAGAAAATTATGGATAGGCAACAAATAATGCCAGTAACACAAATGCCCCATGAAAGAATATTTTATTTTTCAAAATGGTCTAAATATCTATTACAAATTTAACCATTAGTTTAAAATAAAATTCCCATCATGGAGTTCAATCAAGTTTTTAAATCCCTTCAAATATTTAATCCTTATATAAAAAAAAATTAATATCCGCACACCAAAGACAATTAATCCTTTAATAATCTTTCTGAGTTATTAAAGTGGACTTTCTGCTGAAATTATTGTAGGCTGTGGAAAGGAGCCACACATTTTTAAGGACATAATGATAGTTTTTTTAATAGGAAATATCAAGTAGCGCAAGTGCTGGAAGAGATTTATTGTCAACTTTTTTCAAACACACACTGGGAGGTGCCTACGCTCGGTTCGCACTAAACAACTGCACCTCACAGTCGCGAACCATTTCAACTCCCCCTCCCATTCCTTAGATGATATGTCCAACCTGGACCTCCTGCAGTGCCACAATGATGCCAGCCAAAGGTTGCAGGAACAGCACCTCATATTTCGCTTGGGAACCCTGCAGCCCAATAGTATCAATGTGGACTTCACAAGCTTCAAAATCTCCCCTCCCCCAACCGCATCCCAAAACCAGCCCAGCTTGTCCCCACCTCCCTAACCTGTTCTTCCTCCCACCTATCTCCTCCTCCCACCTCAAGCCCCACCCCCATCTCCTACCTACTAGCCTCATCCCGTCCCCTTGACCTATCCATCCTCCCTGGACTGACCTATCCCCTCCCTAACTCCCCACCTACACTCACCTTCACTGGCTCCAACCCCGCCTCTTTGACCTGTCTGTCTCCTCTCCACCGATCTTCTCCTTTATCCATCTTCTATCCGCCTCCCCTCTCTCCCTACTAATTTCAGAATCCCCTTCCCCTCCCCCATTTCTGAAGAAGTGTCTAGACCCGAAACGTCAGCCTTCCTGTTCCTCTGATGCTGCTTGGCCTGCTGTGTTCATCCAGCTCTACACCTTGTTATCTCCTTCAGGTTTGAAGATAGTTTTGATTTTGACTGCAATGAACAGAGAGACTGCTCCTGAGCTGGGGAAGGATAGAACACTTCTCTCTCACTTTAACCTGTTCCAATCTCCAAGCTTTTCAGTTATCTGAGAACGAATCACACAATTATTGCAGGCAAAAGGTCTCTCTCATTAGTCAATAGACCAATCATCTTCCTGTTGGCCAACAAAAGCTACAAAAATTGGTCTGCAACTCAATTATTGCTTGTTCAAACAGTTGTTTACAAGATGCTCATGTCAGATTACTTGCTTTTAAAAGATACAGCAGCACTTTCAAAGACTGATTTTAAAACAACATTCTCATTTCAGTTCACAGTTTTTAACAAAAAAAGCACAAAACAGAAGGTCACAGTTCTTACATCTAAAAGTTCATGACTCCCGCTCTGCATATTAAAGTCATTGCTCCAGCAAAAATGGTGTCTGTTCGGACTTCATGCTGACTTCAAATGATCCTGCTGAGTTCAGGGTGCCCTCACCCTCTGGATCTATTTCTTCTGTAGCCTGCAGTTTCCCCTTTAAAAAACTGTTGATTCAGTCACTCAACTACTAGCACAACTGGGTGTAATCTATGAGAAGCATGTTGCACTGATTTGGACTTGAATTTCCAATCAGATGCTATGACTGACACCAGACTGTGATGTGTATACTTAAGCAGCCTTATACTGTATCAAACAGGAATATGCCTCACCTAAGCGCATATGGGCCTCATTGGTATGGCCAACATATGGTGCAATCCCTAACTGTCCTTGAGAAGGTGATGGTGAGCCATCTTCTTGAATTATTACAATCTCAGAAAGGGAGTTTCAGTATTTTGACCCAGTGACAGTGAAGGAACTGTGACATAATTCCAAATCAGAATGGTGTGTGACTTGGAGGAGAACTTGTAAGTAGTGATGTTTTTATGCAACAGCTGCCCCTGCTCTTCTAGATGAGAGCAGTAACAGGTTCAGAAGATGCTGTCAAAGGAGCCTTGATGAGTTGTTGCCTAGCTGAATAGTGCATCAGGTGATCCTTAGATGTTATGTAAATCGCCTAGGTGTGAGCACAGATGAGAAGTGCTAGTAGGCTATTTAGCTATGAGGGGCATTGCTGCCATACCTGAATTCTATCTTCATATCCATACACTTTCAAGGGGAAACTTGGACAGAAGTGAATACTCTCCCAACATAGGAGCAGATTGGGAGGTTCAATTGGGCACGTTTAAACAAACAGGAATGTACACAGGAGAGAGTACATCACCTTCCCAACTCCCAACCAATTAAGTTAGGGCAGTAAATGTCACTTTCAGCCTTCCCCCGAGCAAGCCAATTCCCAGTATCACTGATATTCTAACAGAAATGAGAGTCTTAGTCCTCCCCTTAAATTCTGGTAGCCTGAGGGGGAACTCTGCTGATAAAGTGCATTGAGTCCTTTGGAGAGTCTCAGTGGCTAATTACCATGGATAGATTATAAATGTTTTTAAATGGTTTGAAACTTCAAGCAATGTTTTTTTTTACCGAGATAATAGCTTCAGGCGTAAAGTTATCATGACCCCATGTGCCATATAAATAGAACTTTTTATCTGATGTAGTATGCAATTTTTCAGAACTCTGATAAGCAGATGCTGAAGGATAGAAGATTAAAGTCAGCTCTTTATACACATTTAATCTTTTATTTATAGACTCTTACTGCATATCATGGACCTCCAAAACTATAACCCTCCTCTCATTCCATTGCTTTTGAGATTTGAGAACAACCTGCAAATAAAATTAAAAAACCAACTAAAGCAAAAGCTTCAATGGAAACTTGTTAAAATAAAATGTCATTCCCAGAGCTTATTACATATTCCAAATCATTCAACACTTATTAGTTTCAGGGAATCTCAAACAGCATTCTCTCTGTCTGTGGATATCCTGTGCAAAGATGGGCAAGCAGTTGGACACACTTTTGAAAATTTTTCTTTACATATATAGTCTGGAACACTAAATTAACAAAAAATGATAAAGTCATCATAGTAGCACTCCCTCATTAAAGATAGCAACTGGTGGTAGTTTAATCTGACGGTCACCATGCCACAGGGCAAAGGAAGAGGTTGAGAAGGAGAGTCATTCATGGTAGTGAAGGAGTAGGAATTGAACCCATGCTGTTTGCATTATTTTGCATTTCAAAACAACTATCTAGCCAACTGTTTCAGAGATAGTAGGAACTGCAGATGCTGGAGAATCTGAGATAACAAGGTGTAGAGCTGGATGAACACAGCAGGCCAAGCAGCATCAGAGGAGCAGGAAGGCTGACGTTTCGGGCCTAGACCCTTCTTCAGAAATGGGGGAGGTGAAGGGGGTTCTGAAATAAATAGGGAGAGAGGGGAAGGCAGATAGAAGATGGATAGAGGAGAAGATAGGTGGAGAGGAGACAGACCGGTCAAAGAGGTGGGGATGGAGCCAGTAAAGGTGAGTGTAGGTGGGGAGGTAAGGAGGAGATAGGTCAGTCCAGGGAGGATGGACAGGTCAAGGGGACGGGATGAGGCTAGTAGGTAGGAGATGGGGGTGGGGCTTGAGGTGGGAGGAGGGGATAGGTGGGAGGAAGGACAGGTTAGGGAGGCGGGGACAAGCTGGGCTGGTTTTGGGATGCGGTTGGGGGAGGGGAGATTTTGAAGCTTGTGAAGTCCACATTGATACCATTGGGCTGTAGGGTTCCCAAGTGGAATATGAGTTGCTGTTCCTGCAACCTTCGGGTAGCATCATTGTGGCACTGCAGGAGGCTCAGGATGGACATGTCGTCTGAGGAATGGGAGGGGGAGTTGAAATGGTTCGCGACTGGGAGGTGCAGTTGTTTAGTGCGAACCGAGCATAGGTCTTTGCAAAGTCAAAGCGACTTCACAAGCTTCAAAATCTCCCCTCCCCCTACCGCATCCCAAAACCAGCCCAGCTCGTCCCCGCCTCCCTAACTGTCCTTCCTCCCACCTATCCCCTCCTCCCACCTCAAGCCCCACCCCCATCTCCTACCTACTAACCTCATCCCGCCCCCTTGACCTGTCCGTCCTCCCTGGACTGACCTATCTCCTCCCTACCTCCCCACCTACACTCACCTTTACTGGCTCCATCCCCGCCTCTTTGACCGGTCTGTCTCCCCTCCACCTATCTTCTCCTAAATCCATCTTCTATCCGCCTCCCCTTCTCTCCCTATTTATTTCATAACCCCCTTCCCCTCCCCCATTTGTGAAGAAGGGTCTAGGCCCGAAACA